TTTTTTTGCCTTCTCTTTCTTGGACAGAATGTCCCTTTCTCACCAGGTTTCCTGTTAGCCAGGGCTGGGCCTTTGGCCCCTCATGTTCCCACTGCCTTCAGCCCAGGCCGGTTGCTCCGCCTTTTAGGGCTTTGATTTCTCCATCTGTATGTAAAAGGTGGGCTTGAACCAGACGACCTCCTTCTGAACTTCACTGAAGCTCTTTCAGGCTGATAATGAGGACCCAGAATGTCAGTCTTCTTCTGCTTCTTAGCAGCGTATGTGATGCTAATAACAGAACTGGGGTCAAATGTCCCCTCCCCTCACCTTAGCAGAAACCTAATCACCAGGAATCCTAGTACCTCAGTGTCCTAGCAGAGAAGTGGAAATAACAACCCCCCACCTTGCAGAAGTGCTCAGCAACGTAATCCCTCCCTCCCCACTCTAACCTCCCTGCATCCCTGAGGAAAAAGCAAATGTCCACTCACTCTCAGCATTTTCCTAAATTTAAATTACAATTTGAGATTATCAACATACACAAACTGGAAAGTCCAAATAAAAACAAAAAAATAAAGATTATTTTTATTTAATGTCTGCTTTGACTTTCAAATAAAACCCATATTTAAAACTTTCTCTTTCTTTTGACTTGACTGGCATTTGCAAATCATTCTTAAACTCCCAGTCTCAGTTTGTAAATTCCTAGGGCCAGGAACTATGTCTTCTATGAATTTCTACATAGCAATATATTTTTTAAAGATTTATTTATTTATTTTAGGAAGAGAGAGAGAGAGCACGAGCAGTGGGAGGGGGAAGGGCAGAGGGACAGAGAATCCTCAAGCAGACTCCCTGCTGAGCAAGGAGGCTGATGCAGGGCTCCATCCCAGGACCCCGAGATCATGACCTGAGCCGAAATCAAGAGTCGGCCGCTTAACCAATTGAGCCACCCAGGCGCCCTCTCCATAGCAATATCAACACATCCTTTATCCAGAGCAAACTCTTCGGATGATGATACCAAAAGAGAGAGAGGATCAATTCTACTAAGAACTATTTTGATTGGGAGCAGCACCTTAGTGACCTCTGAGTCCAGGCTTTTGAAGAAAGGAAAACAAGATTGGTGGGAGGTCTTCTACAGTTTCCTGGGCAAAATATTAGATCTCTTTCCCCACTTTTTAAAGGCAGAAGTTGAACCAAATGACCTAAAGCTCTAAAGTTCAGTGATTCTAAGAACTGAAACAGCTTCCTCTAAGCCACAGCATGCAAGCCCTTCCTAGTTCTGGCCCCCAATTTCTGCCACAAGTAAGTCAGGGATGAGATCTTGCAAAATGGTCAGATCACCAGCTGAGGCCACACAGGGAAGCTGGCTTCTTAGCTCTGTGTACCCATCCCCCCACAGCACACCCACAGATACCTACTCCATCAAGTCATTAAGAGGAAATCTGCTTTGGGGCGCCTGCGTGGCTCAGTCAGTTAAGAGTCCGACTCTTGATTTCAGCTCAGATTATGATCTCAGAGTTGTGAGACCAAGCCCCGTGTCAGGCTCCTTGCTCAGCAAGGAGTCTGCTTAAGATTCTCTCTCTCCCTCCCCCTCTGCCCCTCTCCCTTCCTGCACACGCACACTCACTCACTCTCAAAAAAAAGAAAGAGGAAATCTGCTTTTTCTCAAACTCTTCTAGTGTATCAAGCAAAAATGACATAGTTTTGGCCCCAACTCAGTCACATTAGAGACATAAGGGATAATTGACTTCACATAAATCTTGTGAGTAACGGTAATATTTTTTAAAGGAATATTTTATTCAGAAGGAATGAATGTTAAGGAAATATATCTCTATAGATGAGTTAATTTCTGTCAGGACACTTTGAAAACTGCTGAGTGCTATACAAAGGAAAACATTCATTGTACATACAGTATGAGCCACACATTGTACTAGGTGCTGAGACGAACAAGGCCAATCCTGCCTTCAAGGAGCTCATGGAGGTGGAGGGTGGCGGGGGGCAGGAAAGACAAATAAGCCATACAGAGTGATAAAAGCCACACTAGAGATCTGCATAAGGCACCTAAGAGCAAGGACACAGATTAGGGACACCTGACCTGGTTTAGGGGCCAGGAAGCCTCTTGAACGAAGACACCTAAAGGACAAATAGGAGTTATCTAAGCAAAAAGAGGGTGGGTAAAATTCATTCTAAGTTTTGCCAGTTGTCAGTATGAATGGGTTGCAAACCTCAAGGGAAGCAATGAGAGAGATGGGGATGAAGAGGAAAATAGGGACCCTGAAAGGCTGTAGAAGCTACATATTAGGAACTGAGTGTTTGTGTACCCCCCCAAAATTCGTATGTATTAGAAGAGGGCATAAGGGTGGGAACCCCGTGATGGGATTAGCGCCCTTATAAGAAGAGTAAGAGAGGCCAGAGCACTCTTTCTCTCTCCACCATGTGAAGGCACTTGTGGCTTCCACAAGTCAGAAAGAGGGACCTCACCAGGAAACCAGATTGGCAAGCACCTTGATCTTGGACTTCCCAGCCTCCAGAACAATGAGAAATAAATCCCATTTGTTTAAGCCACCAGTGTATGGTACTTTGTTATGGCAGCCTGAGCTGACTAAGACACCACATTAAGGAGTCTGGAGTATTCTAAGGGTAATGTGGAGCCACTGAAGTGTTTTGTCTTTTTTTGTAAGATTTGATTTCTTTATTTGAGAGAGGGAGCATGAGCGGGGGGGGGGGACAGAGGAAGAAGCAGACTCCCCGTTGAGCAGAGAGCCCGACATGGCGCTTGATTCCAGAACCCCAAGATCATGACCCAAGCCAAACGAAGACACTTCACCAACTGAGCCACCCAGGCGCCCCGCCACCCCACCACTGAAGTGTTTTAAGTAGGGAATGACTAGCTGCACTGTAGAGAATGAATTAGTGGAATGGCCTCTGGTCGTAGGAAGATGAGGCTGTTGTTGAAACCCAGGCAAGGGTAGTAAAAGTGGGAGTTGAGTGAACGAATAGCACAGTTGAGTGAACGAATATCAATAGTCCTTGGAAAGATTCAATTTGGACATAGTAGTAAGAAAAGAGAAGGATGCGCCTCACATGTTTTAAACAACATAGAAATATCCTCAGTAATATTCCTAGCAAATTATTTTCTGGCCCTTGAACCAAATTTCTTGGGTATTAGCAGATTCACCATTTCCAGCTCTGCCTAGGAGAAAGCTTTCTGATTATGAACCATAGGCACAGATCTTGTACCATTTATTGCTTTACCCACTTCTGTTCTCTCTTAGACATATGCTGGGTCTGACACACATGGAAAACTTAGGTGCGCCTCTGACAGAATCCCACAGCTCTGCTTACACCATGTTTACCTGCCTGGCAGTCCCATGAGCCTGTAAATTCTTTGCAGGCATGCACGGGGTCATGTTTACAATTGCATCTCTCATCCTTAGCAGAGTGCCTAGGACACTGCAAAATGAATGGGTTAATAAATGAATTTTTAATTAATTTTTAAAAATATATATAATATAACATTTACCATTTCCTAATTGAACATAATAAAAAAATTATCATCTTAACCATTTTTAAATGTACAGTTCAGTGGTATTTTTTTTAAAGATTTTTATTTATTTGACACAGAGAGAGACACAGCGAAAGAGGGAACACAAGCAAGGGGAGAGGGAGAGGGAGAGCAGACTCACCGCTGAGCAGGGGGCCCGATGCGGGGCTCGATCCCAGGACCCTGGGATCATGACCTGAGCCGAAGGCAGATGCTTAACGACTGAGCCACTCAGGCGCCCCCAGTTCAGTGGTATTAAGTATATTCATACTGCTGTGCAACCATCCATCCCCAAAACTCTTTTTCATCATGCAAAAGTGAAACTCTATTGCTATAAAACAATAACTTCCCATTTCCCCCTCCCCCTAGCTCCCTGTCAAATCTTACAAAAAAAGACAAAACACTTCAGTGGCTCCACATTACCCTTAGAATACTCCAGACTCCTTAATGTGGTGTCTTAGTCAGCTCAGGCTGCCATAACAAAGTACCATACACTGGTGGCTTAAACAAATGGGATTTATTTCTCATTGTTCTGGAGGCTGG